CTGGCAGATCCAGATCGTGTGCAGGAAGGGGATCAGGCCTGGCAGATCCCGGGGAGCAGCAGGAATGGGATCAGGCCTGGCAGATCCATGGGAAGAGCAGGAATGGGATCAGGCCTGGCAGATCCCGGGGGGATTTGGGTGCCGGGGTTGGATGGAGCTGGGATGGAGAAGCTCTGGAGCTGCCGGGACAGCAGGAGCTGCTCCAGCCGCATCCATGGGGAGCTGATCTTGTGGGAATGGATCCCGTGGGAACTGATCCAGTGGGAACTGATCCCGTGGGATCAAGTCCGCTGGGATGAGGGAATAGGAATTGGGAATGGCTCCTGTGCCCACTCGGGGGGCTGTGCCAGGATCTGTGCCAGGAGCTGTGCCAGGAGCTGTGCCAGGATCTGTGCCAGGGCTGTGCCAGGATCTGTGCCAGGGCTGTGCCAGGGCTGTGCCAGGGCTGTGCCAGGCTGGAGATTTCCCTGGGATCACTGGGGATCGAGCCCTGGTGCTGTGGGGTGGGATCACCCCAGGTTGCGGGGCAGAGTTCACCAGATCCCCCGATCCCCCGCTCTGGGGGATCCCCCGGGCTGGGGGGCAGGTTTCATGGGATCCCCCGATCCCCCGGCTCTGTGGGATCCCCCCGGCTGGGATCGCTCCCAGCAGGATCCGGATTCCCCGGGATCCCCCAAACACCGCGTCCTGATTTTGGGGAGGAGACCCGAGCCTTCCTCCTCCCGCGGGCTCCATCCCGCTCCCCGCGCCGGGCTCTGGAGCTCGGCCTTGGGCAGCCGCAGCCCCGCCGCCTTCCCGGCTCACTTTGGGGTTTATTTTGGGCGTTTTTATCCAAAAATCCCGGTTTTTGTGAGCAGCGGGGCCGGAGCCCGGGGGGCCCCGCGCGTGTCCCGGGGCTGGGGCCGGGCTGGAGCCGCGCTCGGCGCTGCGAGGAGCGCTGGAAGCGGCGGAGCTGCCGCAGGAGCTGTGGAGGGGCTGCCGGGGGAGGGGGAGGAGGAGGAGGAGGAGGAGGAGGAGGAGGAGGAAGATTTGCGATCGACCGCGGCAAATCCGGCAGATTTTGGGGGCGCGGGGCTGGGCTGGGGGCGCCGGGGAGAGGCTCGGCCTCGCTCGGGGGTTCGGGGCTGGCGAGGAGAGGAGAAAAGCGGAGGATGGGAAATGTCCGAGGGGGCTGCAGGAGCTCCCGGAACGGCTGCGTCAGCTCCCGGGAGCTGCGGGATTCGGGGCACGGCGCCGAGCCGTGCATGCGCCGGGCCGGGAGCATCCTCTGCAGCGGGGGCTGTGCCAGAGCTGCAGCCCCGGGGCTCGGGGTCCTGCTCCCCCCGGTGGGGCCGGCCCGGAGCCGCCTCCTCCCAGCCCCGATCCCGTTCCCTTCGCCGGGAGCGCCGCTCGCCGCCCACTCATCCCGGAGCTCGCTGGGATGTGGCAGAGCCGAGCCCGGGAGCTGCTGCCGAGCGCCAGGCGCTGCCAAAGCCCCTCCCAAGGACAGCTCTGGTTTGAGGGGACACCGGAGCCTCTCGTGGTGCTGGGCTCTGGCTCCGGGACAGGGGGGCTGTCCTAGGGGTGCAGCAGTCGGGAGCTGGGACAGGCAGGGGGGGGGGTCCGTGTCTGCCCCAGCTCCAGTGAAATCACCCAAGGTGGAAACCCAGCACCCCCATGTCCCACTCCAGCACCCCAATGTCCCACCCCAGCACCCCGAGATCCCATCCCAGCACCCCGAGATCCCATCCCAGCACCCCAATGTCCCACCCCAGCACCCCGAGATCCCATCCCAGCACCCCCATATCCCATCCCAGCACCCCAATGTCCCACCCCAGCACCCCGAGATCCCATCCCAGCACCCCGAGATCCCATCCCAGCACCCCAATGTCCCACCCCAGCACCCCGAGATCCCATCCCAGCACCCCCATGTCCCATCCCAGCACCCCCATGTCCCACCCCAGCACCCCAGTGTTCCACCCCAGCACCCCAAGATCCCACCCCAGCACCCCAATGTCCCACCCCAGCACCCCGAGGTCCCCGGATCGCGGCCGTGCGGCTGCCATGTGTGACCCCAGTACTGGGGACAAGCAGAGCCCGGGGTGGGGGATTGGAGGCTTTGTTTGGATCGGCTCTTGCAGCAGAAAACGTTCCCTGGTAAATCAGGCCAGGGCTGCGGGCTCCGGGCCCCGGGCGGCGGCGGGAGGGGGCGGCCGGGCCCGGCCGGTGCCTCGGGGCCGTTCCCGGAGCCCGGAGCGCGCCGGCTCTGCCGGGAGCGGCTGCGGAGCTGGGACAAGCTCATCCTTCCAGAGCCGCTGTCAAAGGGGCTCTCGCGGGCGGGAGAGGCCACAGGAAATCCTGGATCAGGGAATCGGATGCGGCGGGCTGGGAGCGCGGGGACACCGAGGGGCCCGTCCTGTGGCACCGGCGCTGGCACCGTGTCACCCCCGGGAGCCTCCCGCAGGAGGAGGCAGCGGCTGCCCGGGGAGGGTGGGCACCTGTGGGTGTCCCTTGTGCCACCCTGCTCTGTCCCGATGGCACCGGCATCCCTTGGGAGCCCTGGCTCCGGCTGCTGTGTCCTGCTGTGTCCCTGTGTCCCCCTGTCCTGTGTCCCCTGTCCCGTGTCCTGCTGTGTCCTGTGTCCCCTGTCCCGTGTCCTGTGTCCCCTGTCCTGTGTCCTGCTGTGTCCTGTGTCTCCTGTCCCGTGTCCTGTGTCCCATCCTGTGTCCTGTCTCCTGCTGTGTCCCCTTTCCTGTGTCCCTTCAGCTGCATCCCGTGTCCTACATCCCATATCCCGCTCTATCCCGCTGTATCCATGTCCTGTATCCCGCTGTATCCCATATCCCGCTGTATCCCGCTCTATCCCATATCCCGCTCTATCCCATATCCCGCTCTATCCCATATCCCGCTCTATCCCATATCCCGCTCTATCCCATATCCCGCTCTATCCCATATCCCGCTCTATCCCATATCCCGCTCTATCCCGCTGTATCCGTGTCCTGCGTCCCGCTGGCAGCCGGCTCATCCCGGCTCGGGGTCCCGTGAGTTCGTCCTGCCGGGAAGGGGCTCTGGGGGCCCGAGGGGCCCGGCCGGTCCCCGCTGCTGCTCCCGCACGGCTCCGGGGGCCGGGAGCCGCTGGGGCACCGGGAGCCGCCGGAGCACCGGGAGCACCGGGAGCCGCTGGGGCACCGGCAGCACCGGGAGCCCCTCCGGAGCACCGGGAGCCTCCAGAGCGCCGGGAGCCCCTCCGGAGCACCGGGAGCTGCCGGGGCACCGGGAGCCGCTGGGGTACCGGGAGCTGCTGGGGCACCGGGAGCCTCCGGAGCACCGGGAGCCTGCGGAGCACCGGGAGCCGCTGAGGCACCGGGAGCTGCCGGGGCACCGGGAATCACTGGGGCACCGGGAGCTGCCGGAGCACCGGGAGCCGCTGGAATACCGGGAGCCGCTGGAACGCCGGCTGCTGCCTCCTGCCAGGGAACAAATGAGATGTGATGGCGCTCCCGGGGCTCCCGGGGCTCCCGGGGAAACATGTGCTGGATGTGTAATGGAGCGCGGGATCTGCCCCCGGAGCTGGCCCGGCTGCGGCGGCTCCGCTCGCATCCCGATTTTCCCGAGTCTCGGGCGGGAGGAAGGAGAGAGGCCGCTCCCTCCTCGGCCCTGGATGCCCTGGAGCGTGAGATTGGATTACCGCACTTGGCAGGCGCTCGGCTTTGGGCTGCTCCTGCCGAGGGAACATCCCGGAGCCGGGAGAGGCCGGGGCGATCCCGGGGGCTTTGCCGAGCCCCGGCGGTCCTCGGTGTCTGCTCGGATCTGAATTCCTCAAATCCCGCTCTCCCTGCGGCCCCGGCCGGCACTGCCGGGCAGAGGGGGCTGGAGCGGGGCCAGCTCTGCCTGCGGCTCCCGGGATGCGCGGTGTGGGATCCGGGATGAGCCGCAGCTCATGGAGCCCCGGCACTGGGGGAACTGGGCTGTGCTGGGAGCGGGGGGAGGTCCCTGTCCTCCGCTGGGAACATCCAGAGGCTCCACTCGGCCGGGCTGGAGAACCGGGAATGTTAAACACGAGTGGAGCTGGAGCCAGCCTGGGAGAGCTGGGAATGTTCCCCTGGAGAGGAGAAGGATCCAGAGAGAGCTTCCAGAACATTGCAGGGCCTGAAGGGGCTCCAGGAGAGCTGGGAATGTTCCCCTGGAGAGGAGAAGGGTCCAGGGAGAGCTTCCAGAACGTTCCAGGGCCTGAAGGGGCTCCAGGAGAGCTGGGAATGTTCCCCTGGAGAGGAGAAGGGTCCAGGGAGAGCTCAGAGCCCCTGCAGGGCCTGAAGGGGCTCCAGGAGAGCTGCAGAGGGACTGGGACAGGGCTGCAGGGCCAGGAGCCAGGGAATGGCTCCCAGTGCCAGAGGACAGGGCTGGATGTTGGGAATTGGGAATTGGGAATTGCTGGCTGGGCTGGAATTGCCAGAGCAGCTGTGGCTGCCCCTGGATCCCTGGCAGTGGCCAAGGCCAGGCTGGAGCCTGGGGCTGGGAGCAGCCTGGGCCAGTGGGAGGTGTCCCTGCCATGGCAGGGGGGCACTGGGGGGGCTCGGGGGTCCCTTCCCTCCCAAAGCATCCCGGGGTTCCTGGACATTTTGATCCCGATTAGTTTCACTCCCACCATGGGCTGTCCTTGCTCCCTCCTCCCTGAGCATCATCCCAGTGTCCGGCTGGTGCTCCTGCCCCTCTGGAATTGCCTCTGGAATGATCCGCAGGGGGCTGAGCCCTGGCACAGGACACACACGGCTGGCAGTGCCCGGGGGTCACCATGTCACCGTCCCGGGACCCCCGGGACAGCCAGGCTGGAGCTGGGGCCGCTCTCTGTGCTGGGCATGGCTGGCAGCGCCGGGTCACCGTGGCCCTTGGTGTGCCCAGGTGTGCCCAGGTGTGTTTGGGTGTGCCCAGGTGTGCCCGGGTGTGTTTGGATGTGCCCGGGTGTGCCCCATTGTGCCCAGGTGTACCCAGGTGTACCCAGGTGTGCCCACACTCCGTCTCTGTCCCCAGGTGATGCAGGTGCTCAACGCCGACGCCATCGTGGTGAAGCTCAACTCCGGGGACCACAAAACCATTCACCTGTCCAGCATCCGACCCCCGCGGCTCGAGGGGGACAGCACCCAGGTGACAGGGAGGGGACTGGGAGGGGACAGCGCCTGGGGACACTGCAGGGACTGGGAGGGGACAGGGGACAGCACCCAGGTGAAAGGGAGGGGACAGGGAGGGGCCAGCCGGGGGCCGGGAGTGGCTCTGCGTGGAGACCCCTCCCCGTGGGGCTCCTGCTCTCTCTGGGGTGAGCGAGCCCCCCTTTCCCGTCCTGTGGGATCCCAATCCCGTGGGATGCAGGAGGGGCTGGAACGGGCTCTGGTGGCTGCGGGAGGCGGCTCCGTCCCTCTTTTCCTGCCCCTGTTCCGTGGCTGCTCCGGAGCGCTGCGGGACGTTCCCATGGGATTTGTGTCCCAGCCGTGGGGCAGCCCCGGGAGAGCTGCCGGAGATGGCTCCAGGCGAATGAATCCCTGGATTCCCTCCCGGGGCCGTGGGGCGGGCCGGGCTCGGGGAGCTCTGCCCCATCCCGGAGCAGCTCGTGATGCCGTCAGGAGCCGGAGCGCTCGCGCCGGAACGTCGGGAAGCGTCGGGAAGCGCCGCGTTGTTCCCGCACAGTTTGCTCCCGGCTCTGTGTTTGAGCTCTCTCAGGCCGGCAGGGACACGAAAGCGCCGGGATGAGCCGGGAGCGGGCGCCAGGAGCGCCCTTGACCCTGCTCGGAGCTCCGGAGCTCTGCGGGAAACAGGACACGGCTCCGATCCGTGCTGAGAGCCCCTGACCCTGCTCGGAGCTCTGCGGGAAACAGGACACGGCTCCGATCTGTGCTGAGAGCCCCTGACCCCGCTCGGAGCTCTGTGGGAAACAGGACACGGCTCTGACCCGTGTGGAGCCCCTGACCCTGCTCGGAGCTCTGTGGGAAACAGGACACGGCTCTGATCCGTGTGGTGCCCCTGACCCCGCTCGGAGCTCTGTGGGAAACAGGACACGGCTCCGATCCGTGTGGTGCCCCTGACCCCGCTCGGAGCTCCGGAGCTGTGCCAGGAGTTGGGATGAGGGATCGGCCCCCATGTCACACTTGGAGCGTCCCTGACTGCTCAGAGCTCGGTGCTGGGCTGGAAACTGGGATCAGGGATCGGGGATCAGGGATCGGGGATCGGGGCCTGTGTCACAGAGGCTCCTTCATCTCTCACAGCTCTGGGATCAGGGATCGGGGATCAGGGATCAGGGATCGGGGGTGTGCCCCATTGTGCCCTGTCACAGAGGCTCCTTCATCTCTCACAGCTCTGGGATCAGGGATCGGGGATCAGGGATCAGGGATCGGGGATCAGGGATTGGGGCCTGTGTCACAGAGCGTCCTTCAGCCCCTCACAACTCTGGGATCTGAGATAACGGATCAGGGATCAGGGATTGGGGATCAGGGATCAGGGCCTGTGTCACAGAGGCTCCTCCGGAGCTGCTCCAGGAGCCGGGATGAGGCTCCCATCCCCGTGTCCCTTTCCAGGAGCGGGCTGTGGCTGCAGGAGCCGGGCTCTTGCCGCTGTGTCCGGTGATCCCAGCCCAGCAGGGGCTCCTCAGGGCACGGATTTGTCCCCTGCTGCTGCTTTTCCCTCTGGTGCTGCGTTCCCTCCATGGCCGATGCGCTCGGAGCTGTGGGATCACCGAGCTCCCGAGACCCTCGGAGAGCCTGCCTTGTTCTGGCACATCCCCACTCATCCTCATCCTCTTCCAGTGTCTCTGGAGATGCCAGGAAGGTTCCTGGGGAGGTTTCTGGGGAGGTTCTGAGAAGGTTGCAGGAAGGTTCCTGGGAATGTTCCTGGGAATGTTCATGGGAAGGTTCTGAGAAGGTTCTGGGAAGGTTCTTGGGAAGGTTCTAGGAAGGTTCCTGGGAAGATTCCTGGGAAGATTCCTGGGAATGTTCCTGGGAAGGTTCCTGGGGAGGTTTCTGGGGAAGGTTCTGAGAAGGTTGCAGGAAGGTTCCTGGGAATGTTCATGGGAAGGTTCTGAGAAGGTTCCGGGAAGGTTCCTGGGGAGGTTCTGAGAAGGTTCCTGGGAACGTTCATGGGAAGGTTCCTGGGAAGGTTCCAGGAAGGTTCCTGGGGAGGTTCCGGGAAGGCTCCTGGAAGGTTCCTGGGAAGATTCCTGGGAAGGTTCATGGGGAGGTTCCTGGGAATGTTCCTGGGAAGGTTCCTGGGAAAATTCCTGGGAAGGTTCCTGGGGAGGTTCCTGGAAGGCTCCAGGGGAGGTTCCTGGGAAGGTTCTTGGGGAGGGTCCAGGAAGGTTCCTGGAAGGTTCCTGGGAATGTTCCTGCCTGTGCACAGGACGGGGCCGAGCCAGGATTGCTCCAACCCCACCTTTTCCCGGCTGTTTTCCACCCTGGAGCACCACGGGCCGGCCTGGTGGGTGACAGCTCCCGAGGTGACCCCGCGTTGCTGTGGCAACGGGAATTTGGCAATCCCTGGATGGCGCCGTGTTCCGGCCACGCGGAATTCTGGATCAATTCCCAGAGCTGCCTCTTCCCGCTGCTCCTCTGGCATCGGCTCCGCGGGGCCCGGAGCTGCCACGGGCCGGGGGCTGGAGGGGAGCAGTGGGATCTCCTTGGGATCAGCGGGATCTCCTCTGGATCAGTGGGATCTCCTTGGGATCAGTGGGATCTCCTCTGGATCAGCGGGATCTCCTCTGGATCAGTGGGATCTCCTCAGGAGCAGTGGGACCCCCTCTGGATCAGTGGGATCTCCTTGGGATCAGCGGGATCTCCTCTGGATCAGTGGGATCTCCTTGGGATCAGTGGGATCTCCTCAGGAGCAGTGGGATCTCCTCAGGAGCAGTGGGATCTTCTCCGGATCAACGGGATCTCCTCTGGATCAGCAGGATCTCCTTGGGATCAGTGGGATCTCCTCTGGATCAATGGGATCTCCTCTGGATCATCGGGATCTCCTCAGGAGCAGTGGGATCTCTTCTGGATCAGCGGGATCTCCTCTGGATCAGCAGGATCTCCTCTGGATCATCGGTATCTCCTCTGGATCATTGGGATCTCCTCAGGATCAGCAGGATCTCCTCTGGATCATTGGGATCTCCTCTGGATCAGTGAGATCTCCTCTGGATCATTGGGATCTCCTCAGGATCAGCAGGATCTCCTCTGGATCATTGGGATCTCCTCAGGATCAGCAGGATCTCCTCTGGATCATTGGGATCTCCTCAGGATCAGCAGGATCTCCTCTGGATCAGCAGGATCTCCTCAGGATCAGCAGGATCTCCTCTGGATCAGCAGGATCTCCTCTGGATCATTGGGATCTCCTCAGGATCAGCAGGATCTCCTTTCGTGTCCTGTTCTGCTCCCGGTTCCGCTCCCGTTAAATCCCGGTTATTGCTCCCTGGCTTTTCATCTTTGCGCAGCGTTCCCGTCCCTGTCGTTAACGGCGCTGTCGTTAATTAGCCGGCAGTGCAATTAGTGATGGCTCCGCCCCTCCCCTTCCACCCCAGCAGTTAAAGTGATGGAAAAAACATCCAAGAATTCCAGAAGGGACCGGATTCCCCCTCTCTGGGGCTCGGGGTGGGGATCCCCACCCAGCTGCCGTTCCAGAGGCGGATCCGGAGCTCAGGGAGCGCGGACACGACTTTTTATGGATCAGACGTCAGCACGGACATCGCTCCGGGGGTGTGGAACGTTCTCCATGGATGGGGAACGTTCTCCATGGGTGTGGAACGTTCTCCATGGGTGTGGAACGTTCTCCATGGATGTGGAATGTGTTCCATGGGTGTGGAACGTTCTCCATGGGTGTGGAATGTTCTCCATGGGTGTGGAACGTTCTCCATGGGTGTGGAACGTTCTCCATGGGTGTGGAACGTTCTCCATGGGTGTGGAATGTTCTCCATGGGTGTGGAACGTTCTCCATGGATGTGGAACGTTCTCCATGGGTGTGGAACGTTCTCCATGGGTGTGGAATGTTCTCCATGGGTGTGGAACGTTCTCCATGGGTGTGGAACGTTCTCCATGGGTGTGGAACGTTCTCCATGGGTGTGGAATGTTCTCCATGGGTGTGGAACGTTCTCCATGGGTGTGGAACGTTCTCCATGGGTGTGGAACGTTCTCCATGGGTGTGGAATGTTCTCCATGGGTGTGGAACGTTCTCCATGGATGTGGAACGTTCTCCATGGGTGTGGAACGTTCTCCATGGGTGTGGAATGTTCTCCATGGGTGTGGAACGTTCTCCATGGGTGTGGAACGTTCTCCATGGGTGTGGAACGTTCTCCATGGGTGTGGAATGTTCTCCATGGGTGTGGAACGTTCTCCATGGGTGTGGAACGTTCTCCATGGGTGTGGAACGTTCTCCATGGGTGTGGAATGTTCTCCATGGGTGTGGAATGTTCTCCATGGGTGTGGAACATGTTGGGATTTACAGGAAATCCATGGGAATATTTACGAGATCTGAGCATTTATTGGAAATCAGCAGGGGGCGTGTCGGGAACAGGGACAGGAGGAGAGGGAACAGCCGCAGGAATTTCCCCATGGAAAGGGGGTCAGGCCCTGGAAGTGCCCAGGGAGGTTTGCAGTGCCCATCCCTGGAGGTGCCCAGGGAATTCCTGGAGGTGGCACTCAGGGGACAAGGAGGACATCGGGCACAGCTGGCACTCGGTGACCTTGGAGAGCTTTTCCAGCCCCAGGGATCCCGGGATTCTGTGATCCATATAAATCCTAGGAACATACATCCCTTTATTTAGTATAAAATACAAAACACATGAAAGGCAATTGGGGGCTGATTCCAGGCTCCCCTGGAAGCTTTTCCCCCTCTGTGGGCTCTTCCCAGCCTCTCATCGGAGCAGGAGCGCCGGGATGTCGCAGCTCCGTCGGGAATCCCATCCCGCCCTGCCGGGCGCTAATGGCTCCGGATGGAGGAGACGGGAAGTGACAGATGGAAAAGGGAGCGATGGAATCCTGCAGCCTCTCATCATCTCCAGCCTTTCCTCTCCAGCCTTTCCTCATCTCCAGCCTTTCCTCATCTCCAGCCTTTCCTCATCTCCAGCCTTTCCTCATCTCCAGCCTTTCCTCATCTCCAGCCTTTCCTCATCTCCAGCCTTTCCT